AGCGCCATCTGCCAGTGCACGCCGCTACAGGAACTCAACATATCCGGTAACAAGATCGAGGAGATTCCGCCCATCATCGCCGAGCTGAGCAAGTAAGTGCGTGCGCGCGTGCGTCCGTGCGCGCGTGTGTGTGTGTGTGTGTGTGTGTGTGTGTGTGTGTGTGTGTGTGTGTGCATCCATGTACGCGTGTGCGTGAGTGCGTGCGTGTATCCGTGCGTGCGTACGTGCGTGTGCGTGTGTACGACTGTAGGGGTAGAGATGAGTTCTCGCCCCATTGCAGCAGGCAGCCAAGGGCGAGGGTTGCCCAACGTGGTGCACATATGGAAGGTTCAAACAGAGTGAAGAGCAATGTTGCGCTATGAGGAGATGTACTGGTAGCAAGGTGATCTTATGAGGGTGGGAGCTTATGACGATGTAAATCCGTGAAGGGATGGACTGGTAGCAAGGTGATCATTTGCAGGTACGGCGTGGCCAGGGATTCGCCTTGTAAAGGAAGCGAATGCTCCTGCGCGTAGGATAAATAAGAACCATTCAGGGTGCAGCATAACGTGGTAGCGGCACTCTGTAACTATTTCAACTCGTTCCGCTGCCGCTCCATCGGTGGTGGAATTAGGAGGCCGCCGTCGTCTTGCGGTCTAGGCGTTCACTCGATCTTCAATAGTTGTTCAGTTTTTACCCAGTTTTAGATCAAACGTTGAACAGCTGTCGAGAGAGCCAACTACTTTCCTTTTTCGCTTGTGTTCCGTAAAAGCCATTGTAAACAACATGCAAGTGTTTGTAGTGCTGCAGAATGCTTGCAATCTAGTTGCACAGCAGTCTAGTCGTACTACAGCTAGGATTACGGCTATTATTATATGGCAGTACTTCCACAAAGGCGTGGCACAAGCCCCACATTGGCATGCTGCATTTGTACACGTTAAAAAAGGTTGTGTTTCGTTCCTTACTACGCACCCCGATCACTTACAATTTCAGTAAAGCGTTCAGCAAATAGTTTAAATCTTCATGCTATGTATTACTATTTAGCGCTTAAAACGTAAGGAAGCCCCCGATGCATAAAACGACGTCGGATAATGCGTGCCCGATAATCTAATAATGTCCTTATTCGGCGCGTCCTCGAAATACCTCAGTGAGCAGACAATGCAATATGAAATGACCTTCGCGACAATCGGATTAAAACCCGCACACCTGGCGCGCACAACGTTCTGACACCGTTACTCCCTCGATAACACGCAACGCGCCTGGATTGACTCGTTCTTCGTTCGACAACGAGCGTCTTGATGGATCGCTGTATGATTGCGCTGCGAAATGGGACAGCTTGGTTACATAGGGAGGTTACCTCACACTAACCCTGAGCTGCCTTCTGCGCGCGCATATGTAGAACGTTTATAAATGATGTGCGAATCTTAACCCGGCAAGATTATCACATTTTGCCGACGCCTAAACTATTGCCTAGAAATCTTGTTTGAGCATTCTCAGTTCAAGTTAATAATGTTAAAATTACCGTGCCGCCTCACGCATGTGAAATACACAAGGTACATGCCGCGGTACATTTAATTTGGAACAATTATTTAGTGCATAAATGCACACGAGGTATTGTAGGCAACGTACAGTTTTATACCATTAATACCATGTATTTTTTCTACGTAATGCATATGGTGGCACTGGAAGGCGACACGATTTTCTACTCGTAGGTTAGATCTACATTTCGACATACCCGTTAAAACGTAGTTTACTTCCAATCGTGTGCGCATTACTCATCAGTAAAATTGCAACGTGTCAAACTGATTCGTAAACGATTCCTGACACGAAAGTCAGCGTTTCTTTCTGGCTCACTATGGCAGTGCACGGTTGTGTTGGTGTACACTCGCAATGCGCACGCGTGCAGAATAAGGAAGTAAACACACGCGCGCATGCACGCACGCACACACAGACTGACCGGCAGACAGACAGATAAACAGACAGACAGACAGACAGACAGACAGACAGACAGACAGACAGACAGACAGACAGACAGACAGACAGACAGACCGACAGACCGACAGACAGACAGACAGACAGACAGACAGACAGACAGACCGACAGACAGACAGACAGACAGACAGACAGACAGACAGACAGACAGACAGACAGACAGACAGACAGACAGACAGACAGACAGACAGACAGACAG